AGACCCATTGGTATAGAAGGTAAGATCATTAGAGGAGATATTGTGGAGTGCAAGTTGGGTAAGCTTTTGGGAGGCTTTACTGTTTTGAAAGATCTGAGTAGTAAGTAGATCAGAGATAGTAATAGTAGGAGGTGGAGGGATATAAAGAGGGTGTTTAATAGCTGTAGAGTAAATGAGGTCTATATAGTTGGTATTGAGTTTTAGAAATTTGTTTGATGTTTTTTTGTCTAAAAAGTGAGTAGACAGGGTTTGAGATACTTCAAGTATATAGTGGTTGGTTATTCTGTTAGAGTTCAAACTACATCCTGGGTATGGAGAGCAGATGATAGGTGGAAGTGAGTATTTATTTTGTTGTGCTGTGTCAATATTATGTACCCAGTGAGTAATTGATATAGAGTTTGAGTTTGGAAGCTTCTTTTGCATCTGACTAATAATAATGTTGTTATTTTGGTATATAAGTAGCCAGGGCTTGTAGGCTTTGTGGATAAGATTGGTATAGTAGGCGAAAGCGTTAATTCCTTGTAGTTGCAAATGTAGATGTATAGTGCAGTGGAGAGTATCCGCTAGCAGCGTATTTTCTAGATATGTAAACCACTGTGCTTTTTTCCTTTTAGAAGGTGTAATAGTCTCAAAGAAAGGTGAGACCATTCTAGTAGAGTTTGATTGTCTGCTATGTATAACTGCTCAAGATATAGTATTCTTTTATGTCTAATTTGTTGTTTAAAAGTGCTATAGTTAGGGTGGTGGGCTATAAGTTGTTCAAGTGGTGTATTGCTACTATTAATAGTTTGTGGCCATGATATATAAGGGTTTGATTCTATTGTTAGACCAAAGGAATTGTATAGCTGTATGATCTTGAAGTTAGTAGTGTGATGGTTGGGACTATCAATATGTAGACAGAGATGTTGGAGTAAACTGGTTGTAGACCAGAGATTGTTTTGTAGCTGCTGTAGTCTAATTCAGGTAGTAAGCCCCAGAGTTGAAGTGTTGTTAAGTCTGTTGTGAAAATTGCTGATATGGTGTTAGAGCTGTATGTCCCAAATGTTGTTGATATTATATATATTGTGATTAAGCATGGTGGTGCTATTAGAAGTAGATCTGGCAAGATGGGATTTGTGTTTGGCTATTGTGAGGTATTTGCCTAATAGTCAGTTACAGGTTGAGTGTGAAATAACAATGTTTTGAATTCTATATTCTGTTATTGGAATAATGACTGTATTGATAATATAAATGACTTGTTTGTCAGTAATAATTTTTGTACTAGCGATATTAGCTAGTTGTAGAGCCTCATCTTGTATTAGCTTGATTTGGGCTGTTTGCTTATAATTAAGAGTAAACTAGCATCCAAGAAATTTGAATAGTTGTTATGTAAGAATAGAGATTAAGCTAGTATTTAGAAAAGAGATACTAGTATTGGGCTGTTTGGAAATAAATATAGATTTAGTGGGGTTGACTTGTATATTGGCTATTTGGTAAAAAGATATAGCTATATCTATAGTTTTTTCTAAGTCTTTCTTAGATTGCGCAATTCATACAGTATCGTCTATGTATGCTAGTACTGAGATTGATGCATAGAGATGGTTTGTAGATGGGTGTGTAAGGCTTGTCTGCCAGGATATGGAAAGAGTATATCCAGGTTGGTGGCTAGCTATGTGTGATATTAAAGGGTCTTAATAAATTTTCCAAAACAATGGTATAATAGTTTCTCCCTAGTCAATACCATTTTTGACAGAGTAGCTCTCTGTCAATCCCAGGTTGGTAATGACTCGGTTGGTGCGGTCAGAGAGTAAGTTGGTGAGAATATTAAAAAGAGCTTGAGGCATACCAATTCTGTGTAGTGAGTTACTAAATAGATCAGAAATAACTGAGTTGTATGCTTTACTTATATCTTGGGAGAGAATCCACAGTTGGTTTGAGTTGCATGCTGCATCTTCAATAATATTGTTGAGGATATAGATAGAAATAGTAGTTGAGTTGCCTAGTAATGCGACATAGTTATAGGGTAAGAGGATGTTGTGGGAGGAGAGAATGTTGTTCAGATGATTTGTATGCAGTTTGGTATAGAGCTTCTTAATATGTTCTATCAGAATAATTGGGCGAGTGTTGGCCAAATTGCCATTGAATATGGGTTTTTTAGATATTGGGTATATGCGTCCCTCTTTCCATTGTTTGGAGATTTGTTGGCTGCTTAGACAGCGATTGAGCAAGGATGTGATAGACTGTATAAAGCTGGTGCCTGCATGTTTGAGCATCTCATAGCTTATTCCAGATGGGCCACAGGCTTTGTTATTGGGAAGCAAACTGAGTGTAGTGAGTATCTCTTTAGGGGAAAAGATAGCGAGAGCTGTGAAGTACCAGTCTGAGCTGATGTGTAGTTTGGGTCTGTATTCTGCTTGCCAGTAGGTGTCAAAAAGAGATTGATCTATTTGGCAAGAGGCTATCCAATCATCAAAGTGTTGTTGTATATAGGTTTTTATAGAGAGAGGATCTGTCACTACATTATTATCTAGTTTAATGTTGTCAAATTTGACTGAGTCCTTGTGTTTGTTTAATATACTGTTAATCATTGAGATAGGGTGTGTTTGTAGCTTGGTGCATTTTCTTTAAATTGCTTCTGTAATGGACTGCCTAGTTTGTCTAGCATTTTCAAGATTGCGTGTATAGTAAAGACTTTTCTATTTAGTATTAGCATTAGTAAGCCATGCTGAGATTAACGAGATACTTGGGGGAGGAGAGAGATATCAAGCTGGCATTGTTGATTAATTGTAGTGATCACAGAGTTGAAATGGGTAGGAATAGGAAGATTGTTGGTTGTTGTATATTTGGTTTTCCGAATAATACTACCAAACTTTTTGAGATTTGTATGTAGAAAGGAGGCTTTAGATGTAAAGGTGTGCTGGAAGTTCCTGATAGCAAACTTTTTGTTTGAAATGTGCTTAAGAGTAGCTAAGATAATACTAGTTTAAATTTTGTGCCAAGTTGTTTCTAGAGACTCAATAGTATAAGTTGTAAGAGGTGTGTTGTGTTTCAAAAGATTAGAGTTTACTTGGTTAGTATAGTCCTCCCAAAGTTTCTTGTTCATAGTCTTGTAGTTGAATATTTATCTGCAAGTATGAGTTTTGTGTCTTTGTTAACCTGTGTAGGTATGAGAAAATGACCAATGTGAGATTAGAATTTTGTGATCGCTGCCGGTACTGGTATCAGTATCGTTAATGCTATAGTTGGTGAGAAACTGTAAAATGGGTTGATATGCCCAAATATAGTCTATTTCTCTCTGGTATCTGGAGCTACTCCAGGTAGGTGCTGACTGGCTAGTATGGGCTGCCAGGTTGTACATACTGTTGGTGGCAAGAAATTGAAGAAGCTCGTATTTAATAGAGCTAGACTGGTTGTCACAAGCTGTTGTATTGAAATCTCCAAGGATAATTGAAAGCAAATTGTTGGAAAGTGCTTATTGGATCCATTGGATAATAGTATTCTGTGTTTGTAGTCTAAGCATTAGAGGTAAATAGATGAAAATAATTCTAAATTTGAAGTCATGTTTGAAGAGTATATCTATAGCGATCGTATATCCTGGCCAGTAGCAATTTTATGAATATGTGGAGTAAACTGGTTTTGTATATAATAGCAATTCCATCCTTCGATAAGATTACAATTTTCTTATACACTGTAAGATTTATATATTTTATGTTAAATTTTATATAAGTTTACAATTTTCTTAAGTACTATAAAAACTTATGAAAGTTTATGCATATATATTTTTGCTGCTAGTAATACAAAATGTAAAAACAGATTTGAAAAAAAGGCCAAGCAAAATAAAGCTGACAAATATAAAAAAATTGTTATAACTATCTTCATAAATTCTAAAATTGTTATAGTTATTTTAATAAAAAAAATTACTAGTTGTACATGGTGTGTTTAAACACTTGTTATACAAACTAATAGAAAAGCCAATCAAAATATAAATTTAAATGCAGTATGCAGATCATTTTTTGTACAACAAAAATAAAGAAAAAAATAAAAAATTAATAATATCTAAAAATTTGTTTATGAAACCATCTTTTGAGCTCTAAGAAAAAAAATTTCTTGCGAAATTTTACTATAACTATGTTTTTTACTAACTATAACCTCTAATTCTAACTCTAATATTAATTAAAATTATTACTGTTTACTTATATTTTTTAATATAAATTAATTATAAAATTATACCTGTGTTTCAAACATGCTGTGTATACTAAATAATTTTCTTTAAAATTTTACATATTAAAATTTTATAATTACTAAAAATTATAAAATATATACTTATCTTTTTTATTTCTTCAAGTATTTCCTTTTAATACATAGGTTCTTCAGGTTGAAAGTGTTTAAAATTCTTTTGGCATTGTAAAAGTTATATTTTATTGTAAAATATTTAATTTTTTCTTTTTTAATAGAAAATATCTTATTCAAATCATGAAGTTTACAAAGGGATTTTTCATGCCTTTATATAGATAAAACAAGCGCGTAAAAAATTTATTTTATTAACAAATAAACAATCCAAAATAGTGTTTAAAATAAAAACACTAAAATACATGATTCCAAAAAAGAAACTATTCTGAAGACGTGAAGACGTGAATCTTGTTTATTTTACATAGATTAGGTTGACACGACCACTGATCTGAGGTCCCAGTCTAAACAATGCACGACATACTTTATTGTTATTGCATGGGTCTTATGTGCTTTTTTTCATTTACTGTACTTATTGGCACAGGATTGTATTATTTGGATACTGTATATCTTTTATAAAATTTCCAATAAATAAAAATATTTACCATTATTCCTTGCAAAATTTTTAAACAAAAATGGATAATAAAATAGGTTTATTAATTTTGTAATAAAAAATCTAAATATATAAAGCAAAATAATATTTAAACACTTTTTTTTTTTAATAATTTACAAATTTTTATTAAAGGAATGTATTCAAGACATTTTTAATGCAGATGAATTCGCACCAAATAGTATTAAAAACACATAAATTTGTTTCTTTTTGCCATGAGCTTTTCCATTTGGTTTTCTAAGGCGACTCTTGCTCTTTCTGATTTTTCTAACACTTTTTCCATAACTTGCTTCTCACTTTTAACTGAATATTTTGTGCTTTCTATCTCATCTTTTGCTTCATCTAATTGAGATTTCAAACTTTTAACCTGTCTAATCAAATCCATTTTTTGACTTTGGATAATTGCCAATTCTTGTTTGGCCAAATTCAAATTGATCTCGTTTTCATTTAGAATAGATTCTAGTGTTTCAACAAGTTGTTGATTTTGCACATTTTTCTCCTTCAATCTTTGCGATTCTTTTATTTAACCTTTAAATCTCTAATACAAGATCTGAATTCGTGCATATAGGTTCTGAATGAACGTGTCCAGGCTTTGGCGAAAGTGGCGCGCGAGGACGCGCCACACTTGGAGTTGTTTGATAATGAAATTGGTACTGGAGGTAATGGGTGACTTGGTGGTGGCGTAGGCGGTGGAGCATTTGTTAGATTATCTGAAAGATGGTGAATATTCTTCTTGATATCTACATTATTGGCATCAAGGATTAACGCGCATCCTGATGTAGCACGATTTATTGTTGCGATAAATGTGCACTCTCTATAAGTGCACTTCACATACACTTTCCCTATAATAATAAGTGCACATAATTTGATCGGTCTAATGTAATTATTTAATATTATCGTTATATGTAGATTATGCACCATAAATGAATATTCTATAAATGCACTTTTACCCAAAAACGTGCAGTTATGGAAGGTTGACTGTATTGGATTTAGAAATATACCCATATTCGAAATAATACACATGGATGTATTCGAAATAACGCGCAAGTCATTAATTAGCGTAGGTTGGCATTATTTCGCGCTTATACGGCAAAAGAAGATTTGGTTATGTATATTCAGCAATTTGGTCGGATGATATACGAAAATTGATTATAATTGTGTAAAAGTGCGTGAACCATCTCGTACAAAACTATTGATTTTTTGTGTTTACTTGAAATTTGATTGACAGCGAAATTTACATCACTCACGGCAATATATCCTCGGGGTAGTAGTCATAGCCGTAATGCCGTAAGTAGTCACTACTCTGAGAAATGTCTGCATCATTAATGTAGATACACAATTTCAAGAAATAAAGAATTGGTTTTTCAAATCGAAAATACGATAATTTACTAAATTAATGTAGAATAAAACATGTAATTCATATAAGTAAGGACCAATACTTTAATTTGAATCGAAAATCTTAAAATCGATAAAAAAAGTGTCGAAGCAATGGTTTTCCTAATTCATTCCGCATTTATTTATTTTTAATATACACCATTAAGAACACTTGGTAATTGCATGTGATATTAAAGTAATATGTATAGTGAGGTAAAAAAAAAAAAATAATAAGTGTTTATGTAATTAATAATACTAAAATAAATAATTTACGTGTTGCTCTTAGTACAATAATTCTATACTTTTCTTGACTATTAAACTCCTTCACTCATCCCTCACATTTATATTACTGAATATGATCACCAAATAATTAGAACTCGCCTATCTTTCGATTTTTGCGTCATTTTTAATATATCCATTAACCCTATCAAGTTTAGTGAAACCGTTGGTTTCTTTATCAACCTTAGCAACACCATTAACTTTTTTATCAACCTTAGCAACATCATTAATTTCAGAAACTTTTTTAACTTTTGGTTTTGGTAAAATGATATCAAGAAACAATAAACCAAAAACTACAATGTGTCCTATCCAATATACAGAATTATATGCAGCAAAGACATAATCCCATTTCAATAAACCAAACGAAACGATAGCATATTGTAATCCAGAAGATTGACCTAACCAACCAATGAACATATGTAAATATTTCAAAATTTTAAATTTTAAATTAGAATTATTTTGAGGAAGATATAATGGTTTAGTATATCTTTCTAATCGTTTAGCCCATCGTTTTTCAACTTCTATGTCAACAAATTCTAAACTAAAACAAATATAATAACCAGCATGAAGACCATGCCAAAGTGCGAGAAATATTAATGATATTATGGAAGATAGTTGTTTATTCCCAAGAAAGATAAGTCGTTTAAATATGTAAAGTTTTGTCCATAAATTGGTGTTTGTGTTAAAAGTTCCAATGATTTGTGAAAGAGATGTAGCAAATTCAAAATTCCACTAAATGTAATGAATTAAGTTAAAAAATGCTTAATGCTTAATGAAAAAAAGTTTTTACATATTAGATCGAATCATTAATTACCTTTTCAACATTTGCCATACCGTTCCATTCGGCATTGCCATTATCGTCATAGCCATTAAAAGAAATTCCTGATAGAACGCACGCTCCTTCAGATAATGTCCATATTCCAAGATACTATTAATATAATATATATATATATTAAACATGTATTTAATTATACTCGAATTAACCTATAAACAATTAAAATTGATTGCTTACTTTTGAAAGAATAAACTTTCCAGTCCACCACATTATTATAACTTTATTAATAAATGGCTTACTTGCATATTCAGCAGTTATCAAATAGTATTGCGGAAAGTATCCTGCTCCAACTTGTTGCATTCCTAAATATAGAGCACCAAGCAAGAAACTTTTCAACGCATACCAATAAGATCCTGAAGGAATATTTGTAGGATCAGGGTATAATGACATGGTAATGAATTTTCTGTAAAGATGAAAAGAGAATTGTGGTCCAATGAGGAAAGCACCAAAGAAATGCGCGTATCCAATAGTTTCAATTAAAGATGGTAATGTTGCTAGTTGAATATTCTTTTCAAATGAGATCGGTTGTTTTTGAGGACGCGTATTGGCTGAAAGTTCAGTTTTTTGTGAATTGTTTTTTGTATCAATGTTCTTTTCATTAGTATTAACGCTATTTTCTTTAGCATTAACGCTATTTTCTTTAGCATTAACGCTATTTTCTTTAGCATTAACAGGCGGCTTTGACTTTAATAATTTTTCGCCATCCATGAAATCCATGGCAAATCCTATCATTCTTAAACAAAGAACGCATTGTGTCATAGTCCAGCTGACATCATATTCATCAGTTGAGGTCATGTAATAGCCTACCATAAGGTAGATCACGTTGAAGAGAAGGGAAGCAACGGCAGAGAAAGCTCGATTCCCGAAAAGATTTCCGAAATAGCAGAATAGCCAGGTTGTAAAAGTAGTTATCAATGAATGTTTAATATAAGGTCCATTGTAAAAATAAGAAAGGGAAAGGCCAGTAATGACAACGTAAAGATTACGAATGAGTGGTGCCCATTTTGTTTTTAAAGGGCGAACAAGTGTCAATTTATAAAAGAGAGATATTGGGTAAGCGAATAAAATCGAAAGTAATAATCGAAGAACTGATTCCGATATACCAGTTTGAACGCTAAGGTTTTTAACGAACATATTTTTTTAGGGGAAGAAAAATGGAAAAAAAAAAGATTGTTAAGAATTAAACAGACAATATACAGATCTATATATGCTCCTAGATTTTTTTTTTATCTCGTGATTTGATTGTTCATCTTTCCTTTATAGGAATATCTGACCCCAAAATGTGGTGAATATTCTTTCTAGACTTAGTATTGTAGATAGTGATGATAAAAATCATGTACGTACGTACGTACATACCATCACACAAATAAAGTCGAGGAAATCGTTCTTTAAATGAATAAAAATAAGGCCCTCTTAACAAACAATCACACGATTGATAGTGTTAAAATACTTTAAAATTGTCTATGTTTGTATTGTGTGCATTATAATATAAAAAATGCATATCGATACATTAACGTGTTTATTATTCCCTAATATAGTAAAATTTCCTTAATATCTTCAACGTATCAGATACGTATCAAAGATTATTAGCAGTTAGTATCAGTTAGTATGCACGTATACTTGATAAGTACGTAAGTACATACAGTACATATGTCTGTACGTTTATTAAAACGCTTTAACGTTAATATCTAATTTAAAGTTTTTAAATTGGTTCGTGCAACGCTACTTAACCATTGTTCTTGGATCTGCCCTGTTTATTAGAACCATGAGTTATTGATCGATTAATTAAATCGTAAATTTTAATTAGCTCAACGAGGCACAGAGAATTTAAATGAGAAAAATATGTGAAACGGATGTTATAGCCTTTCTTGGTACACTAATAAAAAATATTAGAAAAACTTAAATTCATTTTGTATATCTATTGTGCTGTGACACCAGTATTCTTCTTTCGGATTACAAGATATCGGTACGTAAAAAACAATTATTAAGTTTATTAGTAAATTCATTGTGTCAAACCAATTTATTTAGACTGCTATATCGAGAGTAACTTGAATTCGAAATACTGTATAAGAACTTCGAATTTTCCCTCGAATATGTTATCTATTGTTCTTATTTGTTGTTTCATATATTTAGCTATTAATCTTATGAATATTGTGCTCCTTATTTAGTACGAAATTTGTGTTACCCAAAAATATGAAATTGAATTGAATATCGATAAACAATTTCCATTTGTATGCTAGTTATAAAACATTGGTACGTAATGATGTACGTAAACTTAATTTATATAAATTTAAATATACTGTATAACGATAAGAATATATAATTTTACAAAAATATTGGTTTAAAAAAAAAAAATTTTTTTTAAATTTATGGAAATAATCAGCACAGGCTTGATTATCATCATATTGAGTCAATAGTAAAGATTCGATTTTATTATTTTACAAATGTCGAAAAAATTTGGGTTATTTAATAAGAATTAAGAGATTCAATAATAGTACAATATATATCATGAAATTTTATTCAAATCACTATCAAATAATCAAAAGTTATTGGAAGTTATTGAACAGACTAATATTACTTTACAATTTTAAAAATTATTGATCTTATTAATTTATAATTAAAACTGATGGTTAATTGCAAGTTAATAAGTTTGATAAAAAATATGAATTATAATACAGATGATTTAATAAATACTAGGATATTTACAATAATTTATACCTGATAAATCCGTCGTCCGTTTATCCATATCTGAGTTATCCGGATGATTGATTAGATATCGACAGATAATTGAATAATCATCCGAATATTGTATCAATAGTAAATAGATATCCGGATAAATTTAGATCGGATATCAGATAACTGATAAATTATTTAGATAAATGCTTAATGGATTTAAACTCTATAAATTTATAATTAGATTAGTAAAATATTTATAATCCTGTATATAGCATAAAGTTCTAATATAGTATATAGTAAAGCTTCTATACGTGCATAATTCTCTCTAAATATATAGTATAGTTTAGTTTTAATTTATAAAGACTTTATATATACTATAATTACTTTTAATAGTAGCTTTTGTAAATTAGTTTTTTTAATTGTTTTTTTTTTCAAAAATATTTGATGTACCCCGGATTGGGATTTCCCGATTCAGAATCAGAACAGTCCCGGATAATTTTTATTTAAATTATACCACAAAAAGTAGGGTTGGATCGGTCCTGAGAAGACTAGTTAAGGACCGGTCTTTTAAACCTGTTATATGGTCCTCTTTTAACCAGTTCAGACTGGTTAAGAATAAACTATTAAATAAACTTTTAAATAGTTAAAAAAAGCTATAAATAAACTATAAATAAACTTTTAAATAGTTAAAAACCATTGCATATTGCATTTCGATGATGATAACTAAAAATCTAAAAATTGATAATCACTCACATGAAAATAGCTTATTTTGAGACCGAGGACCGGACCGAACTGAACTTAACCGTAGATATTATTAGGACCGAGACGGACAAGACCGGACCGATCCAACTCTAACAAAAAGTAAAATTGTTATATTCTAAACCTAAACCTAACCCTAAAATCTTAATTCTGCAAAAATAATTTACAAAATTCCATCTGGGGCTGCCCGATTCTGAATCGGGACAATTTCAATCCGGGGTACGACCAGTGTTGGGCTCACTTATAAGTCCAGTAAAATTGAACTGGAACTGGACTTATAAATAATCCACTGGACCTATAAGTCCAGTGGTCCAGTTTATAGTCCAGTAGAGCGGACTTTTGGTCCAGAGCCCAACACTGGGTACGACATATATATACCAAGTTTAGCCAACTTTCTATAGTTTGTTTTTTTAAATTTAAATAAGTAATATATACTAAAAATATTTTTTTATTTAGTAAATTTAAGTTTTTTACTATAAATTTTTTTGTATTTATTACTTTTTTTACTATTTTAATTTGTATTATAAACTGAGTTATTAATACTATCTTGTATTTTTTAATCAAAAATTACTTGTACAACTTTTGTATAATTAAAACTTTTATAATACTAATATGTATAGTATTAACTCTTTATAATACTACTACTATATATAGTACAGTATTAACTCTTTATAATAAATTTCTTTTTGGAATTTTTAATTTAAATTTGTACTTTATATAAACTTCTACAAAACTTGTATTTAAATATTTTTAAGAATTGCTTCTAGTAGAATTTGAATCAAAAGCTTTAACTATGAAAGTTAAGTATCTAAATAACTAGGCTATAGAACTTCAATTTATTTATTAATTAATTTTTAATAAAATTTACAAATACAGTATTTAAATTTTTAATGTAACATATATTATAATTTTAAAAAAACAAATTAAATTCTAGTAATTTGATAGTTAAGTTTTAATATAAACAATTATTTAACTTTTATTTGAAAATTAAATTAGAATTGTAATTTTTTTTTTTAATATTAAAGGTAAGATAATGCTCTTAGCTTTATTAAACTTAATGAATAGAATTGTAATATTTAAGAAGTAAATTAAATAATAAAAAATATAATTAATATATAAAAAATTCGCAAAAAAACAATATTTTATTAGAATTAGAATATTAAAGGTTTTAGAATTATCTTTTTTCAAAAATAAACAGGAGTTTAAAAGATTCTATTTTCTTTTTTAGGATTATGATTCAGAAAATTAAATAGGCATAGCCGGTAATAAAATTAATAAATTTCGCCGGTAAGTGATTATGTAAATAAGCACATGCTTTTAAAATAGAATTTATATATCTTTTTTTTTGAAATAAATAATTATTTATTTTATCTAAAATCGATTTCAAATAATTAATTTTGAAACAAGCTTTTGCAAATACTATTATAGCTGTGTTGGCAACAGTTTCAAAGAGCTAATAGATATCAAATTACTAAAAAAAATATTTAAATAAGTTAAATAAAAACTAGATTTTAAATAGCAAAATACTAATTAAATATAAATATACTGTTAAAATTAGAGGCAAATGCAAGTAGATCAAGCAAACAACTTTCAAGTTAGGTTACAGATATAGTAAGTAGTATAAAACCTACAAACTAATTATTCAAATAGGCAATCTAAAGCTTTGCATATAACCAGTTTATATATTGGACATAATTTAATATAAAAAACACATCTTAAATCAGACTTTAATTCAACAACTAGCTACATATTATCGAAAATTTTAATGTTACACAAATCAAATCAAATCCAATAATTAATTAGATATTGAACATTCTAAATTTTTAATGTCCAAGCTTAATCAAACCACTGAATTTATTGGATATGACATTACTACTGTACATATAGCTATTTGTACTTTTCTAAATAATAACATATAACTAACTTTAAATTAATATTGGTTTAGTTTAAAAAAAAAAAATAGCAATTATTATTACTATATAATATTTGTAATTTACTTGTAAAATTTAACCTCTTATTGAAGTAAAGTTTTGAAAGTATATATAAAATTCCAAAAAAAATTATTTTAAGCCATATGAAATAAATTAGTTGTCTCTCATAACCCTACCGGGTCAGCTTTGTAAAGTTTCAATCCAAAATTTTATGTTATGTAAAATTTTTGCAATTGAAAAAATTAAAAACCAGCAGGGCAGGTCACGATAAAATTCATGTTGTGAGAAACAATTATTACTGTAGTAAAAATAAAAAAGTTTTAAACAAAATTAATAAATATATTTTGATATTCTGCATACAAAATACACTTTACAGTAATATTAATATTTTTTTAATTTTTAAACAAATTCGTTTAAAATACAAATTAAAGGATATAAAATACTATGTGTATAATTATAATATATAGTACTACCAGCCTTAATAAATTGGTCTCTAACTCCTCAAATCTCTATTACCAACCTTAAATTGTCATTTCATAGTTGGAAATAATCTTTTTCTAAAAAAATCTCAAATAATACTAGGTTAACAGAGGCTGTTAATGTCCGGAGCAAATTATACTGAATTGTTTTTAAAAATTTCACGCAATCATAGTTTAACGAATATATCACGTGAAGAACATCCGGACATTTTGATCAAATTAAGTCTAGTATTAGAGTTTTACCCCATAAGCATAGTAAGTCCTTCGCTACGCTCCGGACAATTATTCCAAAAAGAAGAAAAACTAAGATATCTTTTGCTTTGATGAATATTCTTCCTGTGCTGCAGTAAAGATCTATAACTTTATCAAAATTTTATTAATCGATCTAAATTACTGATACTGTATAAGTGTCAACTATTTGGAAATATTGCCGTTATGAGTTATAGTAATAATATTATTCGAACGAATTAATTGGAGATAAATACAATGTAAGATAATAATTCTAATTGTTTTTCTCATTGCAATTTTGTAGAGGTTCTTACATAAAGATTCCATTGACGCATAGAGCATAAAATAAAATCATTTATGTCATTATTATAAGAATTTGGAATTTTTAGATTTTATATTTGAATATGTGACTTTCATATGTGCTTGCTATTCCTACTTAGAGCTTACGGATTCCTTATCCAAATAATATTCGAATAATTTAGATCGGCAAATATCTATTCGAATATTCGCCGAATGACTAACAGAATTCGAATAAAATATGTTATTCGAATTATTCATCAGATAAATATTTATTCGATATTCGCCGAATAAAATATTATTCGACGAAGCTCTATTCCTACTATCATTGTGCAGCTTCAAATACACTACATTCCAAAGTTCGATATCTTGATCACAGATAAACCATGATAATTTGAAGGAAAATTTACAAGAAATCAATATGTGCGGATTACACAAATCGTATTAATACGTGTAGTGCGCAATTTATTATGTTATGAATATTTATGCTTCAGGGTTGAATAAATTTTTGGCAGTTTCTTAAAACAGAAATAGCTTGCAATAGTTAACCTGAAATTTATTTTTGGATATATTATTAAAAAAAATTTTTACATCACCACCAGACTGGCGCAGAAAATTGGAGGTAATTCTTTTTTTGTTATGTTGCACAAACATTATGTATAAATAGCGCTAGAGTAAAATAACGATAACTTAAAAATGTTCAGATTAACAAGCAGGCCAATTTTCAATATTCACAAAAAATACCATTTGTCTTTAGCATCTTTACTTCATCGACAATTTAGGCATTCTCAGCAAAACAAAAATGGCCATTCTAAATATGATGGCTACTGGAATTTACAAATGCAACAGGTTGGAAATTTTTTTAAAATAGAAGAATGCTTATCGTTAAACATAAATATATTCGATGATAATATTTACACTACGTAGCCTACACCCTCACCATATTTACAAAGTCCTTCGCACGAAGGACATAATACCGATATAGCATCAACAGCGGTAAATACCAATTCGCCTGAGGAAATTAAATCGGTAATGATTGATGGAGAATTGATACCTCCAAAGCCTGTTTTTCCTGATAATTGTTGCATGAGGTAATTGATGAAAATTAGTGTTCTTAGCATCTCACTTTACTAATATATCATCTGATAACGATTCGAATTAATAATCATTAGCGGTTGCGCTCATTGGTATGCTATATTTAAAAAAAATATCAAAACTTTTATTATTAAAATGCAACCATAATTTTTATTTTTGCTGTCATGTTAAGTGTTTTAGACATATATCAGGATGACTTAAAAGAATGGAAAGAAAAGACCGATCGAGTACGAAAACGATTGTTGAATGAGGGCAAACCATTGCCACCGATTCTTAATGATAGCGCAGAAGAGGCTGATGATATTGATCCCGGAATTAAAGCATTTATGGAATTGGAAAAAAAATTAGCAGAAACTTCATCTCAAGGATAATAATAATGCATTTATTATAAATCAGTGTTTTTAACGCAAATATTAAATTAATTATGTATTACGTAATATGACGTTGTGAACGCATGAGAGAAAAATTGATGAACATCTACTGACAAAGATTTTGGGATGAAAGTTGCACTTGTAATTTTTTATATCAATCACGGGCTCAAGAATATGAAATAATCGGCTTAGTCGACTTGGCCGATCCGATTCAATATATCTCTCAAATCTCATTCCTTACTTAAAGATCGTTAAATTTCCGAGTTTTAATTATCCTTTAATTATGTTCGTGTAAGTTAATATTCGGTTATAATAATAAGTACTTGTAAATCTATTTAAACTCAACAATTCAATTTACAGATACTTACCGGTTTATATTCTATAAATATAAAGAACAATTTCTTCGATCGTCGTTCCGTGAGAGTCGATGTTTCAGCGGTGTTTAGAGACGAATTTAAGATCTGACGCGAGTAGATTAGAATAGAGGTCTGATTCGGTCAAAAAGAAATATTCGAATATTCTTCGTTCAATCTTTTTAATACCCAAATACTCATCAGAAAATTTCGAATGAATATTTGAATATAGATTGGAACAAATAATGAATTGAGGCAATATTATGAGGTCGAATAATTGCTGAGGTTAAATATGCAAATTAACAGTCGAGTTCTATACTTACAAGCTACATTAAATGAATATATAAAGAAACTTCTGGCTAATAAGGATTTATCTCGTTCATCTACTTTGGGCTCATTGTTATTAGCATTGCTCCTATAGATTAGAATGAGTTCATGGGGACTTTAATTTAATTATTATTACAGGCGAAGACATTATTTATTATGTTTTGGAAGAAGACACACATCGTGCTTTATTAAAGTTAAAAGATCACTTTTTAACAGAAGGCAAGAGAAGATTTTAACCCTTTTTTTGATTTGATGCCTTTAGCATTTTTAGAGGTATTGCTGACAATGCAATGACTTTGATCCCTAACGTTATAACCTCACAAAAATAATGTTACAGTTAGGGTTGGGGCATGGCATTAGCTTAAAGGCATGCCCTCTTGGGTATGCCTTCAACTTTTAGTTTAGGGCATAACTATAGAGCATATCCCTAAAATTTTTGTATTATTTTTACATATGCAAATTTTTTAGCAAGAGCATGTTCCTAGGCATGCCCTGTTCCTTAATTACATTGGTTTCCAATCCCACGTTATAAGGCCTGATCCACTTAGCATTTTCATTTGCTTAGCTTAATTAGATCGGTTAGTCCTAAACACGAGTCTCACGGAGTGCATCTGTGTATCGTAGTAAAAGCCTACATTAGATTCCGCAACCTGGACCGTAAAGTGTTGGCTGATGTATCCGGGTATTTACAAAGACTTGAGATATACCGGTGTACATTTTTTGCCAGTCTCCAATGTTTTATGCCAACTGAGTGTTTTCCAAAGTATAAAGTTGCTACTCTTTGAAATATAATATGTATAGTATCTGGATGTAAATCAAAATTTAATCGATCTACTAGCCAGCACTTTACAGTACATTGCTCACGTACTAAATATCTAATGATATAAATTATATTTGATGTAACAAAAGAAAGTATAATCCTTTTTGTAATGTTCTAAAACGTGAATTTTATTATTATAAGAAATTGATTAGCCGATTTTGAAAAATCGATCGGATAAGTCGAAATTAGTTTTAGACGATTTTTTTATTATGGACCAAGATTAATCACATCGACCATCTCTCGGTCCGTCTTTCCATCTTTCATCAATTTTATTACAATCAAAAATATCTTTACCTAAACTTTCATTCACTATATTATGCATTTCGCATAACCATTTTCCTAATGCCCAACGGCTTTCAACTCTTGGAGGCTTTGATTTCATTTCTTCTCTTAAATGTTCGGCACAATGGTCACATGGATAAAATTGGGAAAAAGTAGATAAAAAAGTTTTCATTGAACGTTGTTGTGCATAGGATGGAACTTCTGGATAATAGGCAGCCATTGTATGCAAAAATGTCCAAGTAGATCGACCAAGTTGTTCCACATCGGGTGGACAGTCTGGGGGTAAAGTTGAATCTGAAGAGTTAGTGCTGATTACAGATCCAATGGTTTCCGTAGCTTCAGCAGAATTTGGTTTACTATTGTTATTATTTGTGTGACTGGTAGAAGAATCATGCTGTTTCTTTTTTTCTTGCTTTGTCCAATTTTTGAACGCAGTACATACTCTACAAGGTTTCCCGTCTTTATCTAAAACAATTCCAGATGGGTACATCGGTTTAATCAAAATTTTTGTCAGAGGCGTTTTATTTTCTTTCAATTTAATTTTAGAATTTATACCGATAACAAATTTTGATGCATTTATTTTTTTTTATCAGGGAAAAATTACGTATTACAGATACTGTATGTGTTACGTAAAACAATTAATCCATATAAAGTCGGATCAGCATTTTTCGCTGAAGAACGGAAAACGCAACTGGGATCCATGCTAAGTTGGTATTGATGAAGGAAGCCAAACACTTTCTAAACAAATAATTAACGCTGGGTTTTTGCATTTAACGGTAGAAATGAAGTCGTCCCTATAAAAAAAAGTAATGCTAAATTTAATATAATTTTACATAATTTAAGAATTATATAGAATATATTAGCGTTAGGCAGTTCAAAGTTGATTAGTCATCCCCCCTCCCTCTTGGTGATATTAAACAAGCCAATCGTAACACAGCAATCGTGTGATCAAAGTTGACCAATGAAATTTAATCCAATGTTCTTGGGCATATACTGTATATGTTTGTTTAAATATCTCCTTCCCTTCGCGTCTGAACACAAAATGTTGACGTTAACCAACTAATTAACTTTGAGCGGTCTTAATATAATTCCATATTACATATGGAATTCTCCACAAGCTCCGTATTTTATATACGGAATATGTCCAGGGAAATGAATTGGAATTGATCTACTTTCTTTATAGGTAACATCTCACTTCCATGGGCATGTTTCGTGTATAAAATACGGAATTTGCAGCATGTAATATGGAATTATAATAAATGTTATAAGTTCTGTAAATTCTGCATTGCTGCATTACGTTCTTTATAGGGTGTTAAAGACAATTGCAAAATTGTTTTGGTAATTGAAGTTCCTCATACCAATAGAAAATTAGCTGGCCCTGTGGGTATCTCTCAAGCATATTTCTATTAAGGATAGAAGGAATAAAGCATCTGCAACATATATGACAAAAAAAAAAAAGAATTAAAAAAATGGCTGCAGAAATGTGGAAACTAGTTATAAATTGTCCAAACAGCTCGAGTTCTGCACTGTTTAATAAAGAGAGAGGATTGTGGCTTGCAGAATTGTAAAAAAAGGAGCTACAGAAGGATTGTTAACTTGAAGTAACTCCCGAAGTAAAAAATTATTTAAATTATACTAATGATTATTATATCCAACAATTAGCTAACTATAACCAAAACAAGATTATGGTAGAATTTAAAAATTCAACAATATCGTTAATTCTATGTCAATGATGTTGATGTTTTACCCAAGTTTTTAATAATTTTAAGAGAGAAAACAAGCCGTAAGAAATATCACGTCCCATATGACAATGCTTCCCCGTTTTACACGACCAATAATGTAATAAAACAAGAATGTAATAATTTTACTGCCTCATCCACTCTATAATGACTTTATTTGCTTCGAAATTAAAAAAGAATTGGCGAGTCGGCATTTTGAACGAATTGAAAATCTTACATATTCTATAAATCCAAATGTCGTATCGAAAGTATTTCGAATGAATGACGTTATATAAATTACATTAATCTTTAGGGTTGAATCGGTCTCGAGAAGACCGGTTACGTGGTCTTCGATTTTCAGTCTTTTAACAAGTTCACCAGTTATATATTTATGAATTATTTCAAGAACGATAACTAAGATTGATAATCTATTCACATAAAATAGCTTATTTTTGAGACCACGAATAGAACCGATAGATACTATTGGGACTGGTCTCATTAGGACGAGACGGACTGGACCGGAGCGATCCAACCCTAATTAATGTATTGAAAAAATAATTCACCTAAATACTGTCACGGGCACTATTTAATTCAATATCGGGGTTTTCACTATCAGAGTACTATAAATTGATTAATAGCACAGATATTCCGATATATTAATAATTAGTACTGTAGAACCAATCAGAAGTGATGGGAGAAATTAGAATATCGGCAATTCAGCCATGATACATGAAAACAATAAACACGTACGTACGTACGTACTGTACGCACTAGTGAGATTAGATATCGTGTATGACAAAAGCATCAGATTTTTATAAGCTCAAGATGCATGCGATAGTCTGTGTAGCACTGCATGTATTATTATAACCCATTTTTTACTTTAAAAAAAGCTTACCTAAACATCTGCTAACTTTGTCTATTACTGTGGTAAAAATTACACTTAGCGTTAGCTCGCAACAGTTCTACGTGCCGCATCTCTATTATATACGTATATGTAGTACAGATATAAAAAATTGATCTTGTACTGTAATTAAAACTATTTGATAAAGGAGTTTACTAAAACGCACTTATGGTGTTTTAAACCAATGTATATGTTTTCTCAAAAACTGGCTAATTAATCGGCATGAAGTATTCTAATAAAAATGTTCTATGCTCTAAAAAACCTTTCCAAACCCTAACGCTAACCCTAATACTAGCCTTAACGTGAAAAAATTTGTATTAAAAATTTTATATACAAAGCTTATAAAAACTTAGAAAATATAAAAAAAATGTATAATAAGTGTAAAACACCATAGGTGTGTTTTTTTATAATAATTATTAATGAGTTCCAAAAAAATATAATAATAATTGACAATTATATAAAGATTTTTTAAGAATAAATATAAATTTATAATTATACAGTATAAAAAACAATTAAATACAGTATAATAGCAAAAATAACTTTATAAAATAATACTAAAATTTAAAACTAAACTTTTAAACCTTATATACGGTATATTTTTTAATTATAAACTTTAATTTTAATTTAATTATTTTAAAACTATTAGAATTTAACAAGCAAATTTAATTGCTAAACTTAAAAAATGATAAATTTAATCTATTTTTATCAAAAATTAAAATATTTAAAATAAAAATAAGAATTATGAAGTAGTAATATTTATTTTTAAATCAAAAAAAAAAGATAAAATTGCTTAAATAATAAAAATATTAAATATTAATTTTGTGATCAATGTGAAAATAACAAGAAAGACTTCCCGTATCGTTTATTAAAACGTTAAAGTAAATAAGCTTTCCAGCGACCTGAATCTTGGCTATACCAAATTGATTGCTAAGTGGATGGCATGCTAAATTAACAAAATTTATGCTGTCTAGTGTAGTGCTCGGCACAATCAAACAAAAACTTGACACTCAAATGCTTATGATTTAAGTCAGACATCTAGTTATATATGTGCACATATATGTACGTATATATAACTAATTTGATTTTTGTGTTGTTACAAATGACACAGGAGCATTCGGTATACGCAAGCTTATTGATTTTTCCTTCATACTTCACTAGTGCCATGATGTCAGGCTTTTTCCCATCTGTTCTTTACTTATCTTTCCAAAGTTACTTCGAAATTTGCTTGCCAAGCTCTGCCGTTTCGCTCTGTATTTATAGAATGAGGGTTTTTTCTTAATTAAGCTTAAAATTTCGCTTAAGACTTTACCACATCCGCAACATAGATCCCTTCGCTTTGTTCTTTATAAGCTGTGCGATTTTCGAATGTTGGATTATTCCAGATTTTGCCTCTAAGTGGTAAAAGAAATTAGCCATTAAGTAATTATGCAACAAAAATTACTTATTATATGCTTAGCTCTCCTTTTCAACACAGTTCTGTCCTCTTTCCAAGTCTTATCATGCATCATTAAAATTATTTACTGGGTCCGTATTGTTTCACCAACAATCACTTCATAGACACATTTCATAGACAATTATTCATTGACAAGTTCATTTTACTGACAGTCTATTTCACCGAAGCTTATTTCACTGACAAGTTTTTTTTTATAAATTACACTAACTTTAACTCTAGTTCTAATCTAACTCTAATGATATTGACCAGAATTACTTTGTCTGTAAAATGAGCTTTGGTAAAATAAACTGTCAGTGATTGTTGGTGGGTTCCCTCATTTACTGATCATACATAGAACCTAGTGACTTGGGTAATGTGCATTTCATGTTTTCACACGACCCTTTAGGGTAATCATCAAATTAATAAAATCAAACCATAAGTGGTGTAATATGTATTATTTACTATTTGGAAATTTTTTATGAAAATCCGAATTTACTGCAGATAATAGTACCTTTCGGTACAGTTTTCTCTTGAACCTACATAATAATCGCTAGTCAGATTTTTGGTAAAAGCATATTAACCCGCTTAGAATAATGTAATAATCGCATTTTTCGATTTATTCTATTTATAAGTAGTTAATTCTTCAAAAAAGTGAACAAACTTTACCCAACTTTAACGACAATGAACCAATTAAATTTTGTAAAACCGAGATTATTATTAACAAGAGAGAAATAAAAGCTACAAATTAAAAAAAAAATTTGATATGAAAATTTTGTGTCTTTAGCTTGAAAACCGTACCTTTGTAAAATGTATTAAAAAAATTTGTTCGATAACAATAAATAATAACAATTATTCGCAAAGTTAATTTTCCGAAATTTTCGTATTGTTAAAAAAAACCTGTAAAAAATCCTTACATAATAAATTTTATATGTAGTCGAAACTATGATTTGATTTAATTAGTTATGATCACCCTAATGGCCCCTGTTATGTATAGTAACAATAGTTTATATTTTATATGAATTATATAAATTATCTATGAAAATGCGTTTTTGACTTTGATGAATCATTGCCTACAATTGTGTTTACCAATTGTTCATTCAAACAAAAGTTTTGAGGGTTTGATATATTTCTCCAGTTTTTAATTAGTGCTATAAATAATTTTTTTATTTAAAAATTTTTAAATACTTTTTATTTGCAGCTCATTACTTAATAAACCTTTTAATACATGACACCTACATGTTTACTATAAATTATAACCAAATCAACCAATCGCGAGAAAAAAAAAGTTACCATATGTGTTACCTGTCTGGGGCATCCACTTATTTGCACCAGTAATACAAACCTCTAAAACGGAAATGGCCAATCAGAGAACGTAAAATGTGATGATCCCAGATCAGCCCGACATGTGAGCAAAGCGAAGAAAAACACCAAAAAAGAGAAAATACTCAAAAACTAGTGTTTAAATCGACCTTTTTGGACTAATAAAAAATAACGGGAATGAAATTTTTCATATAAATTATCACTAAAAGCTCACAACCCTAACACTAACCCTAACCCTAACGTCCTAATCCTAAACTTTCTTAGTTTATTTACAAATGCGATTTCCTTTTTTGGTTTGTATTACCGGCGTAAATAAGTAAATTGCCTGTCTGGGTGGTTTGGCACAAGTTCGTCATTAGTATATATTAATTCTTAATTTGGAAATCATTTAATTTTAAAATTAGTGATGAAATAGATTTTTTTTTTTTTTTTGGAGGCGGCTTAGTTCTAAGATTTACGTAGAAGCTATATATACTTACGTATAATGTAAAGTTTTATTCAAATTTACATATCGATCGATATATTAATTATTAAAAAAAACCAGATTAATTAGCCAAATTTAGTGACGTTTGGGTAAATAGTTTCATTTTATCAGCCATCAAATAAAATATGGAAAAAGGCGATTGTAAAATTTGTAATAGGTGATTATTTTAATGATATCATTCGGTGATCTCCACATTTTTCGACTGAATCACATCGTCAACATTATCACATTCCTTTCTTTAAAAGTAAAGCTTTATACAAAAACGTAAACAATGAAGGCACGTACCGTACGTACGTACGTGCCAGGTACATACATACATATCGGATACCTGATACGTACAGTTACCACATAAAAAATCCGGGCATTACTTTCTGCGGCGACAGTATCAAGATATCAAGTTACACGTTAAATTGAGGTTCAAGACATTACTACATTAAGAGAAGTAAATTCTATCTTTGCTCATCGTATAACGATAACGAATTAAGTATCTAGTACTAACATTAAATCTGACTCCTTAAGATATAATAGGTTGTTAGCATGCAAGATACAAGTTTATGCAATGCGCAAATGTTTATATTTTTTTTAAACTTTTAGTTTAGTGCATACGGGTAATTTAGAGAGCACAATGAACGAAAGTAAAAACAGGTTTTGTCAAACGAATGCAGTGAGGAATGTGATAAGAATTTTTGGAAAAATTTAAAAATTCTGTTCCTTGAAAAAGCAATCCTTGCTGACAAAGAAATAAATTATAAATTGTGTCACCAATATGTTGTCTAGATTTACCTTTTCCGGTTGGTAAATTCTCTTATTCTCAAACGTCACAAAGTAAAATTCTTTTATTATACATTCGTGCTAGAATAAAAAGCAACTTTTTAAGATTGTCTGCTTTAATTTTCTTTCCGCCTTCTTTTTTTCCTACTCTATAATGGATTTACAAAGTCAAGCACAAGATCTTTTGGATTTGTCAAGCCACGTAACTTGTATGCATTTTCAAGTATTATAAACCCGTTTTTTCGGTCTAGTGGCTTAGGTTGTATGAATATAGATTTTTTTCTTACCCTTTTTTTTTTTTTTTATACACAAAAAAAAAGTGTTATTACAGAAACAGTCAGACTCTCTCATAAGAAAGCGAACTTCAGTGAAGAATAATAGCAATGAGGCGGACGTAGACGAAAATCTGGCTTATGATATTGCTTTGGCTTCGAGGTCTTTGCACGGTACATGCATGATCTTGGTTATCGTGTTTTTTGGTTCCTATGTATATTACGTTCAACCTGTGAAGAACGTAAAAAGGATCTGTAAAAGCATTATATTGTTAATATTAAGCTTATTCCGTACTTCTCACACAAATTTCTTATTCTTATAATACGCTCGATCATATTAAATAGTATTGGAAATACGGCGCGAAATTCGTTCTGCTATGAATGAAATATCAGAGATCAAGGAACAATTAAATAATCAAAAACAAGATAATATTTCTAGCAATTGGTATGATTATATTCAGGATACAATGGAACACCTACATGTGTTATTGAAAAGAGGAATTGAACGTAAGCATATTATTATGAACTATTAATTTTGTTCAAGATAGCTTTTACAATGCCTTATGCTATAAACAGTTGCATCGGTTGAAATTCCAAATCCTGAAGAGTATAGGAAAACTATATACTATGACAATTATGATCATTATGAATATGAAACTGAAGAATCTTTATCTCCTAATGATCTTATTTACTGTGACGACCACGTTTATCAGGATGACTCTTCTACCTCAGATACGTCAACACGTAGTAGACCTGCTAGTATTATGTCACCACCATCTCCTCCCGATTTTGTTCAAGAACATTGTCTGAAATCAAATTTGGTTCGACGTCATACACTGGATAACGAAACTATCTCTGCTGCTCGATTGTTCATAGGTAATCTTGGATTGCAACAAGCACCATCCAAGGCTTCTACTACCACATTTATTTCGCAAGAACAAACTGAGGCAGATACTTCTGTTAATACTAATACTGGTCATTCGTCGTTAAAACTTGATCATGATACACGTACTTCACTTGCCGCACGTCAGCTTTCACAATTAATAATTCATGAATCTGATGAAATAACTGATGAATTTGTTGATGCTGTAGAGAGACAAGAAGAAAATCACTCCAATAATGATCATAGTGAACCATCCCTCATCAAAGAACTTACTTCTCACTCGAAACGATCAAATTCTTCACCTTCGTTACCAACTTTTTTAGAATCTGTTCCAGAAGAACCAATTATACGTTGGGTAAGATATTATTTCTCTTTTCGATATCAATTTTTCATATCACTTATTTACACTTTACATGTATACATACATATATATATTTAATTAGGGTGATAAAGAATACTCTAGTAATTCTTCATCGCTTGCTCTTTCGGCACTGTCTTCACAAAATGCACCAGCATCTCAAATCAGTCTTCTTCGGCATAAACATTCAAATTTATTTGCTCAACAAGTTAATGTTAGTAATCCAATACGCATTGGGACAGGCTATGGATCGTACATTGCTTATACATGTACTATCAAAAGCCAAGAGGTAATTGTTTTTTAGTTTCACTGTTAATTTATACAATATTTCATTATTTAACTGTTTAATTAATTAGGGTGCAAGTATCGTTGTCAGAAAACGATATTCTGACTTTGTTAAGTTGCGATCGCAACTGATAAAAGCTTATCCAAAATTCTATAAATTGATTCCTTCTTTACCACCAAAACGAGTAATGGGAAAATTTTTGCCCGAATTTATCGAGAAACGTCGCAAAGATTTGGAATATTTTTTAGCCTATGTATTGTTGCATCCAATACTTGGGCCAACGGCTGTTGTGAGAAGATGGTTTTCAAATTCATAGTTCAATAATATGTTATGTTGGTTAAGAGAAAATATTGAATCTAAATTTTTTTATGGTTCAGTTAATGTCTGAAATCCTTATTTTTTAAAAAAAAAACAAATCAAAAAACCCCATTCGTTTAAATTTATTTACTTGACGTTAGTAGATTCACTTCCGTCTACTATTATGAACAATATTTTAACTATAGTTTTATTATTTTGTTTTTGTATATATTTTAATTTTTGACATTATAAGTACACTATGTAATTTATTAGTCCTTTAAAAAGATTTTTTTCTTATTTTGTAAAGATAACTTTGTTTTAATGAAAAAAAAAAAGATATTTTTCAATTTAAGACTGATATTGTTTTTTTTTTTTTTTCTTGAACAAATAATTTAATAATTAATATGGCAGTAAAACTGAAGATGAGATTTAGGGCCTCTATTTAGATCCATTAAAATCCACTTTATTAACGCCAATAAACTCTAATCCAAATGCACCCCCAAATATTAATGCATATGATATAAGATTGCAGCTGACGATGTACGTACAAACCTCAGGCGACCTCAGATGACCTGCGTTAGAATCAGTAATGGTAATAAGTGGCTTAAACTATATCTTAATTTTTAGTGTTCGCGGGATTAGAGTCAACGTTCGAATCCGGATCCACGTAGAGATCCGTTGAACCGGATTTGTATATTTACAGCTATTATCGACCGATACGATGGATATTCGACTGATTGGTAGAGCTGGAATCCGTGAATATCCACGGTTAAAAGTGAATATTTAATTAAAATCAAATATTCGGCTACACAAGCATAATTAACAAGTTATTTAATTTGATTTTTAGAGTTTTGAAAATCTTGATAAGTTGTTTATGAAATTTTAATATATTATAGCAGAAGATATTTTTTATCTACAGTATATATATAGTGTAATAGTAGATTATGAATACTAATTTAATCAATTAGATATTCAATATCAATATACTATAATATTATTACTCTTCTTTCTTGTAATATTATCTTTGTTATATATACACTAACTTGTTCTAGTACATGTATAAATTTTTATTTATAGCAATTTCTGATAAAATTCATAACTATAGAATACCAATATAAACTAACTCAACCTTGGCACATAAGTATTACAATAGTAAAATTTTGTTATCAACTCTTTCTGACAATTATTTGAACCAAAATTTTCTACTAAAGAAAACATAATTTTTGTTGGAGAGTCATGGCCTATGTAGTGGTTTGTCTAGAGATTAATATTTTCTTTTTTGAGAAACTCCTCTAAAGTGATATTTGGCATGCAAGCTAGGAACATTATTATATAAGATAACTGGCAGAAGGTGGCGCCCTTGTATGAAAAATCTTGGTGGAGAGATAAATGCCAAGGAGCCTCTGGTCTACTCTATCAATAAAGCTACTAAGTCTTTGCTTTGAATGAAGTGAAACAGGAGATACAATAAATATACTGTATGTATTTCTTAAGCCACACTCTTTTTACTTGGTTAAGTGGTTCTTTATTTACTTATTTTTGTTCTATTGGTTTTTTAAAATTTTTTAACAAAAAGTGAGAATTTGGTTTACTCTCTTCAAAAGATTGACATTGTTTACTTTTCAAATTTGGATAGTTTAGTGGAACACAACTACGTGTTTTAGGAATACAGAGCTACTATACAGGACTGGGTTTCTAGCATGAAACTCCTAATAGTGGTAGTAGGTGGCTTGAGATACAGGTTTATGAACAGCAGCAACACCTACTTGAGATATAGATTAGGATAGGCTCAAATAAAGTTACCCAGAGTTGTTCAAAAGGTCAGAAAGAAAACTCAATGCTAAGACAAAGCTTTACAATAGAGATATACAAATGTTGTACTTGTTATATAATTTTTATTTTTGCTTGGCACAGGCTATTTCTTAAACCATATTCCAGACAAATTAGTATTTACAATTTTTTAAATAAAATTATATAATATTTTATTTAAAATATATTCTATAAGCTTTATTATAAAAATTTTTTAATTTTACTAAAAATATTTAGAATAATAAAAGTTTAAAGCTTTTACTTTAAAAATTTTTACTATTAAATTTTTCTTTAAATTTTTTAAATTTTTATATGTTTTCACCTTTAAAAATTTTTTACTTCTAATATAAGTTATAATTTTTATAAGTAAATCACTAAAAATGCAATAATAAAAGTTGTCATTCTTTATATAAACTACAATATTGTATTAAGAACTATAGACTTAAAATTAATATTTAAAGAGTTCGTCAAGAATTTGTAAATTATTTTTTTGATTAAAATTTTTTTCTAAATTTGT